GGTTTTTTTACATACAGGTATAACAGAATAGCTTTAGTGTTGTTGTTGTTTTTTAACTTGAGTATGAACTTATACAAAAAGCAGCAAGATATTAAAAAAACAGTTTTATTGATTAAAAAACACACTATATCGGATTCATATCAGTATCGGCAGATATCCAAATTTATGATATCGGTATCGGTATCGGACACAAAAAAGTGGTATCGTGCCATCTCTAGTCTCGTCTGGGTCTGGTTTATAAAGGCACACATAAAACAATATAATCAGACAATAAGCACTAAGAATATATATATTAAATACATGACACCAGGAAGGTCTATTGTTAGTAATGTGTCACTAGTCAGAAATATTTTGGAGGTCTCCAGTTCATTGGGATGTACGGGACCAAGAAAAGGCTTTTGACAGAGTTGAGCACCGTAACCTCTGGATTTAATTGCCAAGATTATGGTGTTGTACAAAGACATTGAAAGTGTACTCAAAATAAACAGTTATTTGTGTAAACCTTTTAAAGTAACCAGAGGTAATAGACAAGGTTCTTCCTTTTCTGGTATGTTATATGCTCTGTGTATTGAACCAATGTAAAATGTTAGGTGTTCTATTGCTGGGATGTCTTTAGCAGGTTTTAAGATGTTGTTTAGCTTATCTGCATCTGCTGATGATATTATTGTTGTTTTTGTTAGCAGTCAGCAAGATGTCAATAAGTTAGGAGATTTATTTGCTGAGCTCCCACAGCTTCCAGGTGGTTTAAAGTGGAAAAGAGGTAGTTTGAAGTATCTGGGTGTGTACTTGGGGGGGCGAAGATACGGAAAATAAGACATGTATGTACAGACATATACAGCACAACTGTAAACTGCAGTAGCAAAGCAAACATTGGTCACAAGGCATGGGGACAGGAAAGAAAAAACACAAAAACACAAGTTATAACCAGTTATTGCCTCTTCCAGGAGATAACTTTGGATGAGAAGATTTTCCAAGCTTCGACAGTTGTGGATTGAGCTTTATTTAATTTTGCGGTGGTATGTTCAAGATTAATGATACGGATATGACATTTTATCCAGAATGATTCCATACAAACGTCAGGACTAAACCATTGCTTTGTAATTGTCTTCTTTGGGGATGTGAATCCGGTGAACATTTTGCATTGTTTTTGTTTTAAGGAGATTTCAGAAGTATCATTAAGGAGATAAAGACCAGGATTGGGAATATAAAAAACTTCCAGCACCTCAAATAACACAGAGTTCATAAAGACCCAAAAATTGGATATAACTGGACAGTCTCAAAACATGTGTAAGAATGTGCCTGGTGACAAATCATTGCATATGTGACAGTAATATGTATCCCGTAGTTTTAATCTGGAGTCTGTTATAGGGTGTAATGTATGTTCTGTGTATGGTTTTGAAATGAATTAGTTGATGTGCCAGGTTCCTAGAAGTCAAACTCAGATTAGACCACACTGTATCCCAGTCTATATTAACCTGTAGTT